AGGGAGAAGAAAATGCTGAAGGCTGTATAAATCCTCCCTTTGGTTGGCCTACCCAAGGAGCTTTAAGCTTTAAAAATGTCCAGCTTTCCTATAGGGAACATTTATCACCCGCTATACGTAATTTAAATTTTAAAACAGAAGCTTTTGAGCGTTTAGCTATAGTGGGACGCACTGGAGCTGGTAAAACTTCTATATTAGCGGCCTTAATGAGAATAGCGCCTTTAAGTAAAGGCGAGATTACATTGGATAGTGTAAATTTGAAAACTTTAGCATTAAGTGTTTTGCGTGATCGTATCGGCATTATACCACAAGAACCGTTTCTTTTCGAGGGTACTGTTCGCGAAAATCTTGATCCTCGTTCATCATACTATGATTCGGAAATTTGGCATGCTATTACCAACTGTTCAGCAGCCACCTACCTAGTGCAATCTTTAGGTGGTCTCGACGGCAAGCTTGATAGGGGCGGCATTAATCTATCGGCTGGTCAAAAACAATTATTGTGCCTAGCCAGAGCTTTACTTAAAAATTCCAAAGTTATTTGTATAGATGAGGGCACTTCGAATCTGGACAACGATACCGAATTTGCCATGCATCAGGCATTGCGCTCATCCTTCAAAAGTTCTACAGTAATATTTATTGCCCATCGTTTGAATGGCCTACACAATATGGATCGTATTATTGTAATGGATCAGGCTGAAATAAAAGAGCAGGGCTCACCACAAGAATTGGCTTCTAATACAAATTCCCTCTTCTACAGTATGTTACAGGCTCAACATATTAGTATTGAAGAGTTTACGAATAGTGAATAATAAATAGTTTTCCTATTATATTTAGTTTATTTTTAAGTTTTTTCCTTCTTTTAATTAATTTTAATACTACTACATATTTATTTTCTTAAATAATTATTTTAAAATTTTTTAATACAAATGTTTGTTGTAGTGTTAATTAGAATTATATTTTAATTAATTTAATTGGTATGTGTTTATTTTTGATATAGAGATCAAATGGCAGGATATATTTTAATAATTTTATGGAAGTTGAATTTACAGAAAAAATCGTTTTTAAATAACAAGTTTGGAACTGGTCATGTCATTACTAGAGTGATAGAACGTGTGAAAGCATAAACACTTCATATGTTTCGAACATTGTTGAGATTTTGAAGGATTTCTAAAGAGTTCCTTTTAGGAATCAGTTCTATGGTATGGTTGCGAATAGCTTTTATTTTCAATTCAATTTAAAATTTTTTTAGAACTTTGTGGAGATTGAAAATTTTGAATAAAAAAAAATTCAAATTTAAGAACATAAATTACTGTTTCAGATCTGTTCCATAGGTGTTGTTGTTGTGCATTAAGTTCCTCAGAACTTAGTGCTGAAAACAACAATTTCAAATATAATTCATTGATGGATGAACAAGTTCTAGAAATGTTCCATAGAAGAATGTTGACTTGTCTCTTTCACAGATATTTTTAATTTATAAAAATTAATTTGCATAAAAATGCATAATAAATAAATATTTAAAAAAATTCAATATTTTGCCAAATATCAAAGTTTATATTTTTTAGAAGAATACCAATTTTTTACAAAAGTAGATTAAATTTTATAAAATTTTAATATTTTTAAAAAATTTATAAATATTGATATTTTTTAAATTTAAAAAAAAAAAAAAATTAAAAATTTCAATATTTTCACAAAATTTTAATATTTTTATAAAATTCCCAATTTTCCAAAAATTAATTATTTTAATAAAATTTCAAAATTTTATAAAATATTCATATATTTTACATAAACTCAATATTTCACAAAAATTAAAAAAATTTTCAACAATTTTTTAATATTTTACAAGATAAGACTTTCTATAGACTAAACTATAGACTAGACTATAGACTAGACTAAAGACTAGACTATAGACTAGACTAAAGACTAAACTATAGACTAGACTATAGACTAGACTATAGACTAGACTAGACTATAGACTAGACTATAGACTGGACTATGGACTGGACTATAGACTAGACTATAGACTAGACTATAGACTAGACTAGACTAGACTAAATAGACTAGACTATAGACTAGACTATAGACTAGACTATAGACTAGACTATAGACTAGACTATAGACTAGACTATAGACTAGACTATAGACTAGACTATAGACTAGACTATAGACTAGACTATAGACTAGACTATAGACTAGACTATAGACTAGACTATAGACTAGACTATAGACTAGACTATAGACTAGACTATAGACTAGACTATAGACTAGACTATAGACTAGACTATAGACTAGACTATAGACTAGACTATAGACTAGACTATAGACTAGACTATAGACTAGACTATAGACTAGACTATAGACTAGACATAGACTAGACTAGACTAGACTATAGACTAGACTATAGACTAGACTATAGACTAGACTATAGACTAGACTATAGACTAGACTATAGACTAGACTATAGACTAGACTATAGACTAGACTATAGACTAGACTATAGACTAGACTATAGACTAGACTATAGACTAGACTATAGACTAGACTATAGACTAGACTATAGACTAGACTATAGACTAGACTATAGACTAAACTATAGACTAAACTATAGACTAGACTATAGACTAAACTATAGACTAGACTATAGACTAAACTATAGACTAGACTATAGACTAGACTATAGACTAAACTATAGACTAAACTATAGACTAGACTATAGACTAGACTAGACTATAGACTAAACTATAGACTAAACTATAGACTAGACTATAGACTAGACTATAGACTAGACTATAGACTAGACTATAGACTAGACTATAGACTAGACTATAGACTAGACTAGACTATAGACTAGACTATAGACTAGACTAGACTATAGACTAGACTATAGACTAGACTATAGACTAGACTATAGACTAGACTATAGACTAGACTATAGACTAGACTATAGACTAGACTATAGACTAAACTATAGACTAAACTATAGACTAGACTATAGACTAAACTATAGACTAGACTATAAAATAGACTATAGACTAGACTATAGACTAGACTATAGACTAGACTATAGACTAAACTATAGACTAAACTATAGACTAGACTATAGAACTAAGCTATAGACTAGACTATGACTAGACTAGACCTATAGACTAGACTATAGACTAGACTATAGATTAGACTATAGACTAGACTATAGACTAGACTATAGACTAGACTATAGACTAGACTATAGACTAGACTATAGACTAGACTTAAGACTAGACTATAGACTAGACTATAGACTAGACTATAGATAGACTATAGACTAGACTATAGACTATACTATAGACTAGACTATAGACTAGACTATAGACTAGACTATAGACTAGACTATAGACTAGACTATAGACTAGACTATAGACTATACTATAGAACTAGACCATAGACTAGACTATAGACTAGACTATAGACTAACTATAGACTAGACTATAGACTAGAACTATAGACTAGACAATAGACTAGACTATAGACTAGACTAACTAGACTATAGACTAGACTATAGACTAGACTATAGACTAGACTATAGACTAGACTATAGACTAGACTATAGACTAGACTATAGACTAGACCATAGACTAGACTATAGACTAGACTATAGACTAGACTATAGACTAGACTATAGACTAGACTATAGACTAGACTATAGACTAGACTATAGACTAGACTATAGACTAGACTATAGACTAGACTATAGACTAGACTATAGACTAGACTATCGACTAGACTATCGACTAGACTATTGACTAGACTATAGACTAGACTATCGACTAGACTATAGACTAGACTATAGACTAGACTATCGACTAGACTATCGACTAGACTATAGACTAGTCTATCGACTAGACTATCGACTAGACTATCGACTAGACTATCGACTAGACTATCGACTAGACTATCGACTAGACTATAGACTAGACTATAGACTAGACTATAGACTAGACTATCGACTAGACTAAACTAGACTATGGACTAAACTTTAGTCTATTGACAAGTCTATAGATAAGACAATAGATAAGACCATAGGCTAGTCTATAGACAATACTATAGACAAGACTGTAGACTAGACTATAGACAAGAATATAGATAAGACTATAAACTAGACTTTAGACAAGACTATAGACAAGAATATAATGTCCATGTCCATACGAATTAAAACAAAATGTTTTATATTTATTAAAACAGTTATAATAAAATAATTAGCAAATTTAAATTATTCAAAAAATCACAACAAACAATTTATTATTTCAATAGATTGTTTAACAATGACTTCATTTCTTTTCTTTTCAAACATTACGTTAAAATAATTTAAATTTAAAAAAAAACACGTAAAAGTAATTGTGAGTAAAATTATTTAGAAAACTATAAATTCATTTCATTTAGTTTAAATATGCATTAATAACAAAAAAAAAAACTATATAATATCTCAAGGCAAAACTATAAACAATTTATAAGAACACATCAATTACAAAAAAATACATATTTTTAAACAAACTTCAACTTTTTAGTAAACAAAAAATTTAGTATTAATTTTTAAATAAAACTTAAGAACTATAAATTACTTACACACATCACTTATAATTTAATAAATAAAAATTTCTTAATTCAAATGTTGTTAATATGTAGCGTTATATTAAAGACAAACATACATATTTACATAAACTTATTTACATAGTTTTTTTTACATAAACTTACAAATCAAATAAATTTTGCAATTTCTTTCGAAAATTTGCAAAAATAAGAAAATATACTTAATTACTTTTGTTTTTTTTTTTTTTGGCTTTAGAACAATTTTAAATAACTTTGAATTCATTTTGATTTTAAACAATAACTACTATTTAGCTTTGAATTATTCAATAAATATACGAGTTATATAATAAATGTTAAAAATAGGGTTAAAACAAATTAAAAAAAAAACAAATTTTAAAACATATATAAACCGACAATAGAATATTGTTAAAATTTAGTATTTAGAAATTTATAAAACAACAAATTAACAACAATAGTTAGATACAAAAAAAATTAAAATTAATAAAAATTATAGGATTTCTTATAAATTTTCTTATTAGTATTGTTATTAAACTATTTTTACCAACTACTTATTGGTGCAATTGTAAATTAATTCTTTGGGATCACCTTTAATATGATCGAATTGTAAATTTTCAAAAGGCGGTTCACTTAATAATTTATTAAATTCAATTTCAAAGGCCATTATTGATTTTTGCAAATTAATATCGTTATTTATCTAAGAGAAATATAGGATTTTCAAAATGTCATCAAATTTAAGTTAATATAAAAACAAACATAAATGAAAAATGTCAATACAATCAATAAATATAACATTTACTGCAACAGTGTATAAAAAAGGAATAATTTTTAATTGTATTTCAGTGTCTTGCCAGCTCTAGGTATAGACTAGACTATAGACCAGACTATAGACTAGACTATAAATTAGACTATAGACTAGGCTATAGACTAGACTATAGACTAGAATAGACTAGACTATAGACTAGACTATAGACTAGTCTATAGACTAGGACTATAGACTAGACTATAGACTAGACTATAGACTAGACTATAGACTAGACTATAGACTAGACTATGACTAGACTATAGACTAGACTATAGACTAGACTATAGACTAGACTAGACTATAGACTAGACTATAGACTAGACTATAGACTAGACTATAGACTAGACTATAGACTAGACTATAGACTAGACTATAGACTAGACTATAGACTAGACTATAGACCTAGACTAGATAGACTAGACTATAGACTAGACTAGACTATAGACTAGACTAGACTATAGACTAGACTAGACTATAGACTAGACTATAGACTAGACTATAGACTAGACTATAGACTAGACTATAGACTAATCTATAGACTAGACTATAGACTAGACTATAGACTAATCTATAGACTAGACTATAGACTAGACTATAGACTAGACTATAGACTAGACTATAGACCTAGACTAGACTATAGACTAGACTATAGACAGACTATAGACTAGACTATAGACTAGACTATAGACTAGACTATAGACTAGACTATAGACTAGACTATAGACTAGACTATAGACTAGACTATAGACTAGACTATAGACTAGACTATAGACTAGACTATAGACTAGACTATAGACTAGACTATAGACTAGACTATAGACTAGACTATAGACTAGACTATAGACTAGACTATAGACTAGACTATAGACTAGACTATAGACTAGACTATAGACTAGACTATAGACTAGACTATAGACTAGACTATAGACTAGACTATAGACTAGACTATAGACTAGACTATAGACTAGACTATAGACTAGACTATAGACTAGACTATAGACTAGACTATAGACTAGACTATAGACTAGACTATAGACTAGACATAAAAAAAAAATTAAAAATTTCAATATTTTCACAAAATATGAATATTTTTATAAAATTTATTATTTTAATAAAATTTCAAAATTTTATAAAATATTCAATATATTTCACACAAACTCAATATTTCAACAAAATTAAAATATTTTTTAAAAATATTTTCAACAATTTTTTAATATTTTACAAAATAAGACTATTCTATAGACTAGACTAAAGATAAACTATAGACCAGACTATAGACCAGACTACAGACTAGACTAGACTATACACTAGACTAGACTATACACTAGACTAGACTATAGACTAGACTATAGACTAGACTATAGACTAGACTATAGACTAGACTATAGACTAGACTATACACTAGACTATAGACTAGACTATACAGTAGACTATACACTAGACTATAGACTAGACTATAGACTAGACCATAGACTAGACTATAGACTAGACTATAGACTAGACTATAGACTAGACTATAGACTAGACTATAGGCTAGACTATAGACTAGACTATAGGCTAGACTATAGACTAGACTATAGACTAGACTATAGGCAAAACTATATAATAGACTATAGTCCGTAATATAGACAAGACTATATACTAGACTAAAGACTAGAATATAGACAAGGCAACATTGTGTACTGTAGTCTGCAATATAGACAAGACTATAGATAAGACTATAAACTAGACTATTTACAAGACTATAGACATGACTACAGACAGAACTATAGAGAACACTATATATTAGACTATGATCTAGAATATAGACAAGACTATAGTCTAGACTATAAACAAGACTATTGACAAGACTATAGGCTAGACTATAGATACGTTTATAGATTAACTATAAACTAGTCTATTGAGAAGACTATCTATAGACAAGACTGTAAACTAGACTATAGGCAATTCTATAGACAAGACCATAGTTAGGGCAATAGATTAGACTATACTCAAGACTATGGACTAGATTGCAGACAAAACTATAGTCAAGACTGCAGGCTAGACTATTATAAAGACTATTGACTGGAATATTATATAGACTATATCGTCACCTGAAACGCAAACGGCCCTACTAACTAACCAAAAATTTAAAATCGATTTTACTGTTGATTCTAATGTATTGCATCAAAACAAATATCCATACCAAAAATTGGACTCCTCCGACCATAATTATCGATTTTATTGACAAAAAACAAAAGGCCCTATCTACAAAAACATTTAAATATTAAAGGTAAAAAGTCCAATTTATCCATTTTTCTTATACGCCATTGTTAACTATCATAACAAATGATAAGTTTCTCTATTAAACAATTCGTTTATTTACTACAAATTAATTGCGTTGATAGAAACAAACTTTTTAATTTAAATAGTTTTTTTGCTTCTTCTGTAAAATTAAAGAAATTTTAGATAGGGCCGTTTGCTTTTTAGGTGACGATATTTATATTTCTTGTGACACTCTTAATGTTCAGTTACAAAATTATTCTTGATGTTTTATGTGGTTAGTTTTTTTATATTTGTAAATGGTCATGAAAAAGACATACCTTTTCAATAAAAATATTACAGTATTGTGCGAAAACTAAGCAATTATTTTATTCAAAATAATATATTTGTTATTATATTTTAATATCAAAAATTATGGAAATGGCTTTCCATATCCATATTTACGAAGAAAATGGAAAATAAATTGTTTTTGAACAACAAACTCCTATAATTAAAAACGAAACAAAAACAATACACAAATTTTTATTTTTAAAATTGGTTAATACTTTATCGAAATTTATTTTTTAAATAAAATTACACACAGAAATTTAGTTAGTTATTTTTTCATAATCTTACAACTAAAATACGCTTGAATATTTTTAAAATATGTATATAAAAAAAAGAATGTTAAGTGAAAAATACTTTTAAAAATTACAATAAATATTTACACAGAAATACATATTAAGGACATTAATAAAATATATTTAAATAATATAAAAAAAATAAAAACATTTAAATAAAATATGTTAAAACATACATTTATACATTAAATTATTTTCATTTATTTAGCATAAGGAAGTAGGCAGTTTAAACAAAACTACTGCTAGGTTGATCCAAATAGGCACAACGAGCACTGGGAGAGACTATAACATTATTCGATGATATGGCAGCTACATTGGCGTTTGTTAATTTATTGTTATTGTTAATAGTAGGCGTTGGCAATGGTGATGTTTTATTATGTTGGCTGATATTTACGCCCCAATTGGAGGGTTTTATGGGTAGTACCTTGGGTTTTGGCGGCAATGGTGGAGGTCCTTTTAAGGAGGTATTTAGATCTTCTATATCTTCTGTGGAATTTTGATCTTCTTCAATTTTCATGGGCGATATGGAGGAGGGTTTAGTTTTATTAGGGTTTATTATAGATAGACGGGGTGCTGGTTGCGGTGGCCTTTCCACTGTTGTAGTATTTATGGAATTCTCATTGTTATTCGAACTTGATGAGGAGCTATTTAAATTGTCTGTGTTTTTTAGGAATTCTGGCAATTCAAAATTGATTTCTGTTCCCCGTTGATCTTCAAGGCGAGCTAACTGGGCTCGTTTTAAATCCTCCAATAAGTCATCTTGCTTCTCGGCCACTTTTGAGGGAAATTGTTGTTTAACACCAGCTTTTATTTTCTCCTTAATAGCAAGTTTGCATTCAGCTACTGCTGCCGTGGTGACCGGTAGAGATTTCTTTGATTTAATTAAACTCATGCCGAGTATGTCTTCATTTTTCTTGCCATTGCGTATGCGTTTAAGAAAGGAGGAAGATTCTGAGTTACACTCCTCTGATTTCAAAGAACATTGATCGAGTTTTGCTGGTTTTGTGGAAACATCCTGATTTTTAACATCCATTAAGTCACTAAAAACATTATTGGTAATTTCATCTAATGCCGACTGAGCAGTTTGTAAACCATTAATGATAGAGTTTTTAGACTGAGCATAAGGTTTTCGATTTTGTATGGCTTGAGGTAAAGGTGGATATGTTTTTTTCAACACCACCTGCAAACGTTGATTATCGATGTGTGTCACCAGCTGAGTTAAGTCAACTTTCTCTTGAGTATCTTTCATTAATACCTCTACTATCTCCGGATTGATGTTGTATCTTTGTAGGATGGGTCTTACTACTTCATACAATTGTTTTTTGGGTTTGCATTTCACCGATATCACCTTTGGAGTGGGTAATTCTAATTTGAAAGCCACCCTTTGTTCGATTTCAATCTCTTTGCGTGACAGTTCTTGAGCTAGGGATTGCAGTTCAACGCCTTTTTGCGGCGGTCCCGTGATAGAAACATCGTAAAATTGATAATTGAGATTACGTTTTTCAAAAAGTCTTTCCACCAATTGTGCTACAGTTTCCTCCGACTTCAATTGTATAACCGAGGTGGAACCGTCGGGAAATTTAACACGACAAAAATTGTTATTCAATTCTCCCACCGGTATGGCCTCGATGGAAGCCAAAGACGTTTTAGAGCCATGTATCGATTGCGTTGATTTTGATATAGCATAATTTGGCGTTAATAGCGATTTTGTGGTTGGAATGGCAGCAGCATTTTCTTGGTTCGACTTTTCTATTGCTATTCTATCGCGGGATTTACTTCTGGCATGATTGGCCTTGCGGTGCCAAGGCAGTAGACTTCTACGTCGGCGCCCCTCTTCGGCGTTGCTTGCCGATTTCTTTAACTTTGATGAGGCACTTTCGGAAAAATTTGTCGTTTTAAGTAGTTCATCAAGATTTTCACCTGTGTAGGGCAAAGGTTTGCCCTTCTTTTCAGCCTGTAAACATTGCTTGTACAAATCGGACTTTAGGAAACGTTGATAACAGTCGAATTTCATTAAATTGAAAATTTGTTTTTGTGCCGGATGGAATAGATTTTTTTCGGCATTACTTAAATTCTGTTCCACCAGACTGCGTGCCTTAGAATCTACATTAACCGGTTCGAAGGAGCCATTTGACAAATGTTTGGTGTAGATAATTAAAGCTTCCGCCTGTCTTTCGGCGGGATTCTCCATATTTCTAAAACGTTCACAGGCGGTCCAAAAGTAAATATTTTCCGCGGCGTATTCTAGTTTTAAGAATTCCGCAAATGATTTGATGCCCGCCGGATCGGCTAGCAGCACTTCTATAGAAGTGCCCCAGGCGGTAGGTCCTTTAGGTAAAGGTTTTGTTAAATCGTTTGATGAATTTCCATAGTTAAGAGAATTTCGCTCCACATCACTATTTGTTAAGGAACCCGATCTACAGACCGTTGAAATTTCCGGCCTTTTATTGGTTTTAGTTTCAGGTGTTAAAGAGAATTGTAAGGTATGTTTGTCTGCTCGCGGAGTTCTTAAGGAGGTTTGAATCCAGCCCCTTTCAAAAGGTGAAGTAGTAGTGCTCACCTCAATTTTCGATAAATCCGGTGTACTGGCTAGTTTGTCGGGAGAAGACAGAACTATTTCAGCCGATTGACATGATAAATTTTGTAAACTGTTCCAAGTGTCAAATTGCAATTTTAATTGTTTCTTCTTATCTTCTAGCGATTGTGTCAGAGGCTCTTGAGAATTTTCTTCTTGACTTGTGTCTGTTTTGTTAAGGGGCTTTAAAAACTGATGCTCTTCTTCCTCTGCTGTCTGGGTAGCATGTAATGAGATATCATCCATAGAAGCGTAACATTGCTGCGGCATTGTAGTTAAAGCTTCTTGATCGTTATCATAATTTTCAGCTTCTTGTTCCAAGAGATTCAATACATCATCACATGATCGAGAGGTTAGTAGGCATCTTACTGGACTGTTGAGAATATAGGGAATTTTAGGATCGGGCATGGCTCTTACGGTTAATCGTTTATTGGCCGCCAACGAGGAAGTTGAGGCTATATCTTCTTGTATATCTTGTTGGCATATATTATGAGGCCTTTGGTGACCAACATTTAAGGCAGCATGTATGGTGGCCTGAGACCTTTGTTGGGGAAAGTCCACCACCACTATACGGTCTGTAATATTTGTACAGTCATTATTGTAGCCTATACCCGAGTCTGAATTCGAGGTGGTAGTGGAAATCTCACTATGATTGCTAGGTTGAGGCGAATGGGCGGTGGCATTGTGATGGCGTCCCCCTGCATGCAGATTGGGATCATCTGACATGGAACGTTGAGTGGCCGGTGGTATTATACGCATGGTATACATACTCCTTATAAGATTCACAACATACTCCGAGTTGTTGGGAAATTCTAGACATAAACTCGATATGGGATCTTTGGTACATTCTATACGAAATTCTTGAGCTTTGGCTAAGTGTTGAGCATGATCGCATAATTTAGTATCGACCACAAAGACATGACAAGAATTTGAAATGCTAATGTGATCAGTGTTGGAGGAATGTGTGGCCACATTTAAGGCATCTTCTTCATCATCGTTTTCTTCAGGGGGCGAGCTATAAACGGCACTTGTTACCAAACCAAAAAAACGATTTTCACTTTCTGAGGAAGAGCTCACATAGTTTAAACGCGATGAGGCATAAGTCGCCATGACATTGCCCGTATTCGAAAGCAATTTTAAACAATCGGGCAAAATTACCATTAAAACGGTGGAGGGAGTACGTTTTTCTTGCCGTAATTTGCGTATACAGGAGCGTACTGTTTGTAGTTTACTGCTATGGGAAATTTGTTTGGGCATTTCTATGGTACCCAAATAGCCCACCACTGCTCTATACTCTAAGGCAGCACTGGTTAAGGGAGCTCTTACCATGGCTCTAACATTAGCTACAGTAGAAGAAGAGCAAGCGGCCAAGCTAGGCTTAAGTTCTTCTGATAAAGGACGCTTGGTAGCTGTTACCTTAACCTCGGCACCCAAAGGCTTTTTCACCGTATTAAGAGGACATTTTTTAGAAGGTTGTGTTGTCCGGGGTAAAGGCAAAAGACTTTCATATTTTTTCATGGGAGAATTTTTCATGCGTTGCTGTTTGTTCTTGTGGTAGACATAACGTGGCCTATAAGGACCCAAGGAGGGAATGGCTGGGGAACCTGTGGCAGCATTTTCTTCATCCGTACTATCCGAGTAATAATGTTCGGCTATTTGCATGCGTATACTACCAAAGGAGTTTCCTATTAGCTGGACCACGGTTTCATGTGGCAATTTGGAAACATTAGAGCCGTTCACTGATATCAAACAATCGCCAGCCCTTAGGCCTGCCTGATCGGCCGGAGAATTTGGTATAATACATGATAAACGACAAGGTTGTTGGCCGGATATTGTAAAACCGAAACCACTATAACCACGTCTAACTTCTACTGTTCGCGTTCCATAATTGGGACGCTTTTTACGTCTTCTTTGGGTGGGTGGCTGTGTGGTAGACGAATTTGTTACCGCTGCTGCTGGTGATGTAGTATTATGTGGATGGTGATGATGCATTCTGTTTGCCAATAATGCCAGATGGCCCGTTTAATTGTATGAGAAATTCCTTTTTTTAGAAAATTATAAATATGCGGTCAGTAAACTCCTCGCGCAAGCGTAAATGTAACATGTAACGCACTCACAAACAAACCAAACTCAATTGCACAGGAAAAAAAAATGTGGAAATAGTTTTTCTCTTGAATTTTCTTTTTATACTCCAGCAGCTAGTTACGCTAGTAGTCTGTCCGTCTGTGTACACAATTTTTCATTTGCACAGGTAGCACAGCGCAGAAAAAACAAACAATCAAACAAACACATACACACGAAATTCGCTGTTTTTGGTTACAAGAAGCTTCAAAAATGCTCACGGACAGTCATCTATGTCGCTGGTGGTTGCGTTTTGTTATTGTTGTTATTATACATATATGGATGGTGTATTGGATGTTGTTATTGTATCTTATGGTATGTTGCTAATCCAGTTTATATCTCTTAACAAAAAAAATATCTGCTTCTAAGAGGGTTATTTTTTCGTAGTAATTTTTGAGGATCACTTTTACTTTTTAATTACTTTTTGATAGTTTTATTGCTGGATTTTATATTCTAACACGTTTGTTTTAGTTTATACATATAAAACTTCTTTAAAACTAATATAAAGAAAAAATAAAAAAATATGCCAACGCCTCTAAATTCTTATTTTTGTTTTAACCACACACAATTTCCATTAATAAAATCTATCTCTCTGCTATGGATAAAAAAATTGCTTTAAACTCTTCTTCTTATTGCTATAGAATTTATGCATCGCGAAACGATAACCCTGTTAATCGATCGATAGTTATCGACGAAAAAAGGTTAAGCTAAGAGAATTGATAACACGATCGGTAGAATAGGGTTAATCGAATGGGGAAATATCGCGTTTTTTTTCAATACATTTTGAAATTGTGCGATGTATAAGGAAAATTAAAAATTATGTTAACCAATAAATGTGTCAAAAATTAAAAACAATTTTGAAATTCCCAATCTTATATTTATTAATTTTTAATGTAAAAAAAAAAATTGGCAGTCAATAGTCTACAGTTTATTCTATAGTCAAGTCTATATACTAGTCAATAGTCTAGTATGTAGTATAGTCTAATAGTCTAGTCCATAGGCTAGTCTACTGTCTAGTCTATAGTCTAGCCTAGCCTTTAGTCTAGTCTGTAGTCTAGCCTATAGTGAAGTCTAAAGTCCAGTATATAGTCTAATCTATATTCTAATCTATAGTCTAGTCTAATGTAGCCTATAATCTAGTCTGTAGTACAGTCTAAGTACAGTCCATTTTAAAATTTATAATCAATTTTTAAATAGATAAAATCGCTTACCTCTAAAAACTCTTTAGCAATAAACATGATTTTCCTAACATCATGAACCACTTCGTAAATATGTTGATAACCACCGATTTGGCATTTGAAAATAATGGAACGGACATCCATAAAATCTGCTTTATGTTTGGCCACGAAATCAGGGAACTGAAATCGGGAAGAAATCACAAAATAAACATTTTTCAAAATCTCAAGTAACTTACGTAGTTTTCGGTAAATTGTATCTTAAAAAAGAAATCTGCAGTTTTCATGGCATTCAAACGCTCCATCATTATGTTGAGATTATCAATTAGATCCTTGCCCAAGGGTCGAGGTGGCCCATTGGGATCATAATCCGTAGCAAATTCACTAAGATGCTGCACCAAAACACGTAAATCATAATTTAACCAATTGGATGTAAGGTTCTGCTTGAGTTTTATGAAATCTGTAGTGGCAGCAGGATTAGCACTGTCTGTTAGCTCAATATCCATGGCTGGAGTCCAAAATTCATTGAGATGTTCATCGATATATTGTTCCAATGCAGTGTTTGCTGTAGGTGGTGTGGCAAACAAATGGCTAGCGGGAGTGGGCGGAGTACAAGTTTCTCCTGGCAGAAGAGTAGTATCCTTTTTGATAGGATTATAAGTGCCGGTTTTGAAATAAGTGCCATTTTCAGTAGCCTGACGTTGACTGCCTTCAGAGTCTTCAACCATGGTATAAATATAATTTTTATTTAAAGCGTTTTGAGTACATTTTTCTGTAGCAGAATTTAAAAAATCGAATGATTCCTCAAGCAGCGGATTGCCCGGTTGCAATATTTTAATAGGCGTATTGTTTATGTTGTTATTAAGGCCATTGCGACTAGAAGCTGCTGTTCCTGCCGTATTATCAGACTTTTGATACACATTCTTTTGGGATTGCACTAGATTATCCAAATTTACAAAGGATTTGATAAGATTTTCTATAAAATCCATGGTAGTATCTTGCCAAGCAGCAAAACTTGCTGCAAAATCTGGACTTAATGCAGATTTTACTTTATTCAAACCCTCCGGGGTGTTGTAAACATAACCCTTGATTATTATCCAAGCATTGATGACACGCGTAAAAACGAATATAAAATCTTTAACGGCCCAGGCTATACCCTGTGAGTTGATGTTGGGTAAAACTCCATCGGGACGAATTAGATCCTGTTTCATGCGTGCACAGAGACTATCAATTTTCTTGAAACACGGGCGATTGCGATGGGTATATGCCAATTTTTCGGCTATTTCACTGCCACGCAATGCTAAACGGGTGAGTTCATTAAATTTCGCCTGCGACAAGGTGATTGTACCATTGCTGCTGCCTGGTGATAGGGAATTTGTGGCATCACCACCGGCACCATTGTTAATGACAGCGGAACTATCGCTGTTGATTTATAAATGTGTACAAATAAATAATAATAAAATGTTGTTGTTGCAAATGTTTAATTTAAATTGATTTTAATAAATTGTATGAAATACTTACTCAGACGATAAAAGAACAGGAGAATTCCGCAGTGAGGTGTTTGATTCTAGAAAAAGTAAAAATATATATTTTTTTCAAATTTCTAAAAACTCAAGCTGGAAAGGGTTGCCAAGTTCCAATATTATCAATATATGGGATTACAGATATAAAATATTATGGATATATGAGATAAGTGGTGAATATGGTAAATAGTGTAATTATGATATCTAATATAAATTAGATTAGATTACCATTTGATTATGATAATCTAATCCAAATTAGTTAGAATATCATATTTACATTATGTACAGCGAAACGCTAACTAACTAACTAACTGAACTAACTAACTACCTAACTACCTAACTATACGACCTAACTACCAACTACCTAACGACCTAACTACTAACTACCTAACGACCAAGACCGAACTACCGAACTACCGAACGACCTAAAACGAACGAACGAAAAAAAAAAAAAAAAAACGACGAACGAACTAACGACTAACTAACTACGAACGAACGAACTAAAACTAACGAACGAACGAAACTAACGAACTAACTAACGACGAACGAACGAACGAACGAACGAACGAACGAACGAACGAACGAAACGAACGAACGAACGAACGAACGAACGAACGAACTAACCACAACGAACGAACGAACGAACGACGAACGAACGAACGAACCGAACGAACGAACGAACGAACGAACGAACGAAACGAACGAACGAACGAACGAACGAAACGAACGAAACGAACGAAACAAACGAACGAACGAACGAAAACGAACGAACGAACGAACGAACGAACGAACGAACGAACGAACCGAACGAACTAACGAACGAACGAACAACGAAAACGAACGAACGAACGAACGAACGAATAACGAACGAAGAAACGAACGAACGAACGAAGAACGAACGAACGAACGAACGAACAAACGAACGAACGAACGAAACGAACGAAACGAACGAACAACGAACGAACGAACGAACGAACGAACGAACGAAACGACGAACGAACGAAAAACGAACGAACGAACGAACGAAACGAACGAACGCGAACGAACGAACGAACGAACGAACGAACGACTAAACGAACGAACGAAAAACGAACTAAAACGAACGAACGAAAAACGAACGAACGAACGAACGAACGAACTAAAACGAAACGAACTAACGAACGAACGAAACGAACGAACGAACGAACGAAGAACGAACGACGAACGAAGAACTAACGAACGAACGAAAGAACAACTAAACGAACTAACGAAAACGAAACGAACTAACTAACGAACTAACTAACTAACTAACTAAACGAAAAAACTAACTAACTAACTAACTAACTAACTACTAACTAAAAACTAACTAACCGAAACTAAGAACTAAAACTAAACTAACGAACGAAACGAACCGAACTAACGAACGAACTAACTAACTAACTAACGAACTAACTAAAACACGAAAGAACTAACTAACGAACGAACTAAAAAACTAACTAACTAACGAAAAACTAACTAAACTAACAACTAATAACGAACGAACGAACTAACTAAAGAACTAACTAACTAAAAAGAACGAAACTAACGAACGAACGAACTAACGAACGAACGAACTAAACGAAACTAACGAACTAACGAACTAACTAACTAACGAACTAACTAAACGAACTAAACGAACTAACAACTAACTAACGAACGAACAACTAAGAACTAACGAAAAAAAACGAACTAACTAACGAACGAACTAACGAAAACTAACTAACTAACTAACGAACTAACTAACTACTAACTAACTAACTAACTAACTAACGAACTAAACTAACTAACTAACTAACTAACTAACAAACTAACTAACTAACTAACTAACTAACTAACTTACTAACTAACTAACTACAATTAGAAGGAATGTCAACTTCTCCTTTTTCTCACAATTCGTTTGTTTGATTTCACAACTCTTACATTTGATTTCTTATATACCCATTATTTCTAATATTAAAAATAATTTGGCAACTCTTTTTAAGGAAATAATCATTCACAATAGACGTTTTGTTTACCGCGAAAATATACGTCATTACTTCCAATACCGCCAAAGATCAGCAAGTCATATGTATTTTGTGAAAATTTTTCTTAAAGTGAACACTTACCTTTACAATCCTTGTCTATCATTTGAGCCGTGGGATTACAAAAGTTTAACAAATTAACTTTGGAAAACGTATCATTCATAGAATTAATATTAAGCGGAGTATTTTGTGAAACGCATTGCAGACCAATTTGTATATTTATCTTATTGGAGTCGTTAAGAGAATTCTGATTGGTGCTACCACTAGAGTTGTTTGAACGCAAACAACTGTTGTTGAGCGATGGGATTTTGTTGTTGCTGATTAGCTGTTGTAGTGTTAGCAGAAGAAGAACCACTGGAAGATGATGAAGCAGGCGAAACCGTGCAGGGCTGAGCATTTGAAGGTAAGCTTTGATAAATGGGCACTGCGGCATAAGGCAGAGTGCCGGCTAGAGCATAAGGTAGTGGCATGTTGTGGGCTGGCAACATGGGTGAAAGAAAAGTGGCGGTACCATAAGGCCATAAAGCATGCATTTCTATAAAGGAAGTAAAAATAGATTTTTGTAATTTTTTAATTGAAAATCGTTTACCTTGATTCATTATATTGGCTAAACGTAAACGTTCCATTGCTGTTGTTGTTGCTGTTGTAAATTAGATGCTGCAGCTGATTTCAAGGAATCCGTAAAAGGGAGACTATTACTATTCAATGAGAGTTAAGTTGAGCCGTTGGAATCCAGTTGTTAGCATTTAAATTATTAACAGAAATATTGTATTCTGTAGCACAACCGTTACCCAATATTTTACGTGCTTTTTTGAAAAGAAATAAATTGAAAAAATTGTTAGAAAATCAACGCCAACTGCTAAAAAGATTAATAATTTTCAACTGTCATCTACCTACATATGTATGTAGATTCTTCCTAACCTCAAAATTGTATATTGACAGTTGCTAGTCAAAATTTCTACAAAATAATGTATTTTTATGCAAAAACATTAAAATACTTACGTTTTTTGTGGCGCATTTGATGCTCATTCATATTCATTTAATTTTATAAAACAATACGTTAATCTGTGGTAGGAAAAGGAAATTATTTGTTGTTTGGCAAAAACAATAAATTAATGTGTTTGTTGCTATTACCAATTGGATTTGTGGGTTTTCCCTTTCCGCTTTCAATTTAAAGAAACTTTAATTAATTCTTCTTAAAATTATAAAAATATATATTACAGCGTATTATTTAATGCCAAAATAACTATTATGATAATGCTCTTAAATGTTAATTATAGAAATAAACGAAATTTAGCGCGTTTGATTGTAGAACAAATTTGTTTTATAAAAAAATTGTTTTAAAACAATATGGCGGCAAATGTCATGTTTTCTTCAGTGCATTCCAAACTGTTAGTTATTGTGAATTATTGAATGTTTCATTAATATAATAATCAAAAACTTGGCAGCACTTTAGTGGTTTATAAAGAAAATCAATACACAGTGAATATACAATTTTACCAAAAAGAAGCATTTATTTTTATCACAAACATTTTGCACAAAAAGTTTTAGATTACATTTATAATTTTTATAATTAATATATTAAAAGTAAATACTCATTACTTTCTAACATGTCCGAAGATTGTGTTGTTACCAATGAAATAACCAATAATCGAAATAAACAAAATGTTAGATGTTGTTTTTGTAATTCACTCATTTTAAAAGAGCAGCAGGGTCTGTACGAAAAAAGTCAGGTGGGTGTGTATGTTTGTTTGGACTACCATAAAGAATTCCATTATTTTATTCTATATCATTTTAGTTTGATTTACCTTTAATGCATCAAAAGAATACCAAAGATGTTCATACTATAGAAACTGAAAAGCTTGAAGATTTTTGGCTTGTCGATGACATGTTTACATTTGAAAATATTGGTTTTTTCCAATACCATTGACCAGCGAAAATTTTTAATTTGTGCCGACTGCGACATGGGCCCAGTGGGCTATCATGATTTGGCTACGAAAAAATGTTACATTGCCTTGAAACGGGTTAAACATGGCAATGAACCTGTAAAGGCTGTGACGACTGCCACGTAAGAAATGGCCCGAATATTGGATTTTTTTTGATTCCTTAACAAATGTATTTTGTTTGTTTTATTTGTATTAGAAATTTTGTAATTTATTTAAATAGTATTTTAAATAATTTCATATATTAAAGACGCATCTTATTGGAATAGTGTTTTGTTGGTGTTTTATATTTAATTTTTCGTGGGTTGTGGATTGTTGTCGTAAAGACTATTAACTAGACTAAAGACTAGACTATAGACTAGACTATAGACTAGACTATAGACTAGACTATAGACTAGACTATAGACTAGACTATAGACTAGACTATAGGCTAGACTATAGACTAGACTATAGACTAGACTATAGACTAGACTATAGACTAGACTATAGACTAGACTATAGACTAGACTATAGACTATAGACTAGACTATAGACTAGACTATAGACTAGACTATAGACTAGACTATGGACTAGACTATAGACTAGACTATAGACTAGACTATAGACTAGACTAGACTATAGACTAGACTATAGACTAGACTATAGACTAGACTATAGACTAGACTATAGACTAGACTATAGACTAGACTATAGACTAGACTATAGACTAGACTATAGACTATACTATAGACTAGACTATAGACTAGACTATAGACTAGACTAGACTATAGACTAGACTATAGACTAGACTATAGACTAGACTATAGACTAGACTATAGACTAGACTATAGACTAGACTATAGACTAGACTATAGACTAGACTATAGACTAGACTATGACTAGACTATAGACTAGACTATAGACTAGACTATAGACTAGACTATAGACTAGACTATAGACTAGACTATAGACTAGACTATAGACTAGACAATAGACTAGACTATAGACTAGACTAGACTATAGACTAGACTAGACTATAGACTAGACTAGACTATAGACTAGACTAGACTATAGACTAGACTAGACTATGACTAGACTATAGACTAGACTATAGACTAGACTATAGACTAGACTATAGACTAGACTATAGACTAGACTATAGACTAGACTATAGACTAGACTATAGACTAGACTATAGACTAGACTATAGACTAGACTATAGACTAGACTATAGACTAGACTATAGACTAGACTATAGACTAGACTATAGACTAGACTATAGACTAGACTATAGACTAGACTATAGACTAGACTATAGACTAGACTATAGACTAGACTATAGACTAGACTATAGACTAGACTATAGACTAGACTATAGACTAGACTATAGACTAGACTATAGACTAGACTATAGACTAGACTATAGACTAGCTATAGACTAGACTATAGACTAGACTATAGACTAGACTATAGCTAGACTATAGACTAGACTATAGACTAGACTATAGACTAGACTAGACTATAGACTAGACTATAGACTAGACTATAGACTAGACTATAGACTAGACTATAGACTAGACTATAGATTAGACTATAGACTAGACTATAGACTAGACTATAGACTAGACTATAGACTAGACTATAGACTAGACTATAGACTAGACTATAGACTAGACTATAGACTAGACTATAGACTAGACTATAGACTAGACTATAGACTAGACTATAGACTAGACTATAGACTAGAATATAGACTAGACTATAGACTAGACTGTAGACTAGACTATAGACTAGACTATAGACTAGACTATAGACTAGACTATAGACTAGACTATAGACTAGACTATAGACTAGACTATAGACTAGACTATAGACTAGACTATAGACTAGACTATAGACTAGACTAGACTAGACTATAGACTAGACTATAGACTAGACTATAGACTAGACTATAGACTAGACTATAGACTAGACTATAGACTAGACTATAGACTAGACTATAGACTAGACTATAGACTAGACTATAGACTAGACTATAGACTAGACTATAGACTAGACTATAGACTAGACTATATATACTATACTATAAACTAGACTATAGACTAGACTAGACTATAGACTAGACTATAGACTAGACTATAGACTAGACTATAGACTAGACTCTAGACTAGACTATAGACTAGACTATAGACTAGACTATAGACTAGACTATAGACTAGACTATAGACTAGACTATAGACTAGACTATAGACTAGACTATAGACTAGACTATAGACTAGACTATAGACTAGACTATAGACTAGACTATAGACTAGACTATAGACTAGACTATAGACTAGACTATAGACTAGACTATAGACTAGACTATAGACTAGACTATTAGACTAGACTATAGATAGACTATGACTAGGACTATAGACTAGACTATAGACTAGGAAGACTATATAGACTAGACTATAGACTAGGACTATAGACTAGACTATAGACTAGACTATAGATAGACTATAAGACTAGACTATAGACTAGACTATAGACTAGACTATAGACTAGACTATAGACTAGACTATAGACTAGATTATAGACTATAGTCTAGTATTAGTACTATATATTAAAACTCCACTAAACATAGACTATAGAATAGCTAGACTAGACTGTGGATCTGACGTTTTATAAATAAAATTTGTTTACACTTTGTAATTTTTTGTTTTTATTATTTTTATGTAAATTTTTATTCAATACTTTCCATTTATGACATTATATCAGCTTTTACAATTTTACTAAAGAAATTACATATATTTGTTTTTTATTTTATAAATTTAATTTCATTTATTTTTTGTTACACATTACATATTAATATTAAAGGACATTTTAGAAGGATTTTTTGTTGTTTTTTTTTTAACTTTTGAGCATTTTTTATTACGAGTTCTTTGTATTTTTGTTTTAGCATTATTATTATATTTCGTTTTCTTTTAAGACAAAAAACTACCATGAACTATAAGGATTAAAGTGGGAAGGGAAGGGGGCAAAAAGTAATGATGTTTTGAAGAAAAAAAAAATGCTCTAATAAAGGAACTATATTTATTAAAATGTTTCTTTTTCTTTGATTTAATAAAATGTGTGGGGTGTTTTATTAGCTCTGTTTTTAAGCTGTTATGTAATTTTCCAGTGATTTTTTTTTTATACTATTTATTTAACAATATATTTGCTTTCATATTAGTTTATAATAATTTCTTGTTTTTTTTTTATTGGCAGGTTGGTTCAGAACGATGTGAAGTGTGGGTGTATTTGGGGGCGTTTTATAATTTTAATTTGGTTTGAAATTTGTATGTATGTATGTATATTTTTAATGTGTTCATTCTGCCGATTGTTTTATTATTTTTAGTATATGATTTTCTATTTATATTGAAAGTGAGTTTCTTTTTTGGTTTAACAATTACAAACAAGAATGGTGTAAAGTGCAAGGTTTTGGTTTTTTTATAGACAGTTTTTTTTTTTAGATTTAAAGTGTGGCGTCATTTATGCAAAATATGACAGTTAGGATATTTTTCGCTGTTAATGAAAACATATGTCTATAGACCAAAGTTTAGTCAGGACTGTAGACTTAAATATAGTCAACAATTTTGTCTAGGCTTAATTATAGACCAGGTTTTTGTTTAGATTCATGACTACGTCTTAACTATAGGCAACAACATTATAGACTAAACTATTGTCAAGTCTAAGTATAAGTCAGGACTATAGACTAGACTAAACTATAGCCAAAAATCTTGTCAATATTATAGAAAAGACTTGTGTTAAGACTATATAGATTAGACTCTTGTCAAGACTATATACTTATTAAGCTGTAGTTAAGGCTATAGTCTAAACTATAATCTAGTCGATAGTGTAGCCTAAAGTGTGGTCTATAATCTAGCCTATAGCCTATTCTATAGTTCGGTCTACAGTCTAGCCTTGAATATGAACTAGATTATAGGGTAGACTATAGGCTAAACTATAGACTAGACTATGGGCTAGACTATAGACTAGACAATATACTACGCTATAGACTAGACTATAGACTAGAATAGCAACTAATCTATAGACTACACTCTGGAGTACACTCTTCTAATAGATTATATGATAAACTAGCATTAGACTAAACTATAGACTAGATTGTGGGCTAGACTATAGACTAGGCTATAGGGTAGACTATATAACTATACGGGACTATAGGTAGACTAGTACTAGTATATAACTATACACTAAGCTATGGCTAGACTATAGAATAGACAATAGACAACACTGTAGGCTAGACAGAGTCTACACTTTAGATGAGACTATAAACTAGAATAGTGACTAGACTATAGACCACACTATTGACTAGACTATATAATAAACTTTAGGCCAGACTATAGACTTGACTATATGCTAGACTATGGAAAAGTATATAGACTAAACTATAGACTAGACAATGGGTTAGACTATACAATAGACTATACATTAGACTAGACTATAGTCTACAGTATAGGATAGACTACACTCTAGTATAGTGACTAAACTATACTCTACTCTATAGATTAGACTATAGAATGAACTATAAACTAGTATATAGACTAAACTATAAGCTAGACTATGGGTTGGTCCTTAGACTAGACAATAGACTATATTATAGACTATGCAGTAGACTATACTTTAGACTACATTATAAGATAGACTATAGACTAGATGAATGACTAGTCTATAGACTAGAAGAATGACTAGTCTATAGACTAGACTATAGAATAAACTATAGACAACACTATATACCAGTCAACAGACTAAACTATAGCCATTATTACAGACTAGACTATAAACTGGTCTAAAACTTTATTATTTACGTTTCATTTTAGATAAAATCTGATAAAATCAGCTGTAGATTTAATTTGTTCATATCTTCCCTATAGCGAACTATTCGAGTCATATACATACATACATACGACCAAAGATTTGCCAACACTTTAAATTTTTTTGATTTCTTTATTTTTCTCATAAGATTGGGTGTGTAACTGCTTTATGATTTTTATATATTTAAATTTATTTGATTTTCAATTTTCGTATTTATTTTTATAAAATTTTCTTAATTTTAATTAATACAGAAGGTGTTACCAAGTGTGTTTTGTGTGTATTTTTTAACATTTGTTTTTTTTTTATGCTAAATTATTTTTAATTTTATATATATTTTGTAGTTTTTTAAAAAGCAGTTGATTTTTTTTTTTAATAATTTCTTCTAATAGCTAGTCTAAAGTGTTTTTTTTTTTTTAATTGAAATTAAATGTGTTTTTGGTTTTGTATTTTTCAATAAACATTTAATTTCTTTTTAACTAGTTTTTTTTTTTGGTATTAGCTGTGTTTTTTTCTTCTTTGGTTTTAAACTTATTTTTTAAAAAAAATTTTTTGTTTTCTTATAATATTAATAACAAATTTAAAAAGTTTCATTTGTAGGTTTTTGGAAATAAAATCTTTTATGTTTTTTTTTTTTACTTAAATTCAAAAAATATTTAACGGTAGGCTACAATATATTCGTACTTTTTTTCACTTAATTTCTTGCACATTATTTTCATTAATACTTTCAGGGAGATTTTTTTTATAATTTTATTTTTTTTTTGTATTTTATGTTAAATTTATTAAAGTTTTTTTATTTTCGTATTGTGTTTATTTTGTAAGTAGGATTTTACATTTTGTTTAGCACATTATTATTTATTTAAATTTTTCTTCAGTAATAAAACTTTTATGATTAAATATTCCATTTAAAGCTTATTTGTTGAGTTTAGAATGGGAGCAGGAGAAGAAGAAGTTTTAAATAAATACACTAAAAGAAAATATGTATGTCAAAAATTTTCGGTTTTGTATTAAATTTTTTGAAATTTTCAAAGGAATAATGAAACCTTGTAATATAAGTCTAAAAACTTTCTTTCAGTGTATTATTAATAAATCATTTTTACTAAAATTACATTAATTCAAAATTACACAGTAAAATCTCTGCCTACAGGTAGATTTAAAGAAATTTCTCACCTTTTAGCTTTATGTAAAATCCCATGGAATTCTGAACAATTGTTTAGAAAATAAAACTTAAAACTAACGCTGAGGAGGGGGAAAACTTGTTCAACAAATTATAATAATGTTAGAAAAAACAAAATCATAACAATTATAAAAATCACTAATTAAATTTAAAATTAATATTTATGAAAATTTCAAATAAAAACGAAATTAAACAAATTTTTTCAGCAATAAAGCTACAGCAGCAAATAATGATGTAGCCATGGCTACCGATGACACGCCCAGACCGGAGGCAGCATTACAATTATCGGTATCACAGGAGCAGACAACTTGACGGCCACCAAAGCCAGCGCGTTGATAGCAAAGTTGTTGGTAGTTTGATTTTGGAAACCACAGGTACGTATGACACGGCTATCGGGGGGTACTGTTGGATGGGGAAAAGTAAAGAACAAAAGAAAATGTTAAAGCCAAACTTAAATTGAATTCTTTTTTTTTTTTTTTTGTCAATACTTACAATTGTTTACTGAAAACTCAATAATTTGTGTGATTTTACGACAATATGTTGAGATGCCACGACCCCGTGATGAATAATCCTCTTGACAGTCTTTGAGTAGACTATCGGGTGGCATGTCTAATGCACATTTGCATCTTTATGACTGTTGCAGACAAAACATTTAATAGCTGAACCTGCAAACGGATAAAAAATATGATATTTCCGTTTATTTTTAATTTTAAATTGTAGTCAACAGATTGTTGTTTAATATTAAATAATTTGTGTTTTTTTTCTCCTATTTAATTACTCTTTTCTGTCTCAAGTTTTGTAATTATCTATTGTAAATGTACTTTAGTTTTAATAAGTGCACTTATGCCTAAATGAGTTGCAAATTAGTTTCATTTCAAGACACAAAACACAATTTATAAATGATGGTCGGATAGATGGATGCTTGCATATGTAGGCAAACTGTCAATGTAATTAAACACTTAGTAATGAGTTAAGGTGACCAGACTGCTTAAAAAGGATTTGAAGCAGAATTTTCAACACTGTTTCGGATATATGAACAAAATATTTCTTGTGCCGATAGATATAGATAGACGATAAATATAGATAGATAGATAGATAGATAGATAGATAGATATATAGATATATCGCTCGATGATGATAGATAGATCTAGATAGATAGCTAGATAGATATAGTAGATATAGATAGATAGATCGATAGATAGATAGCTAGCTCGATCGGTCGCTCGCTCGCTCGCTGCCGCTCGCTCGCTCGCTCGCTCGCTCGTCTCGCTCGCTCGCTCGCTCGCTCGCTCGCTGCTGCTCGCTCGCTCGCTCTCTCGCTCGCTCGCTCGCTCTCGCTCGCTCGCTCGCTCGCTCGCTCGCTCGCTCGCTCGCTCGCTCGCTCGCTCGCTCGCTCGCTCGCTCGCTCCTCGCTCGCTCGCTCGCTCGCTCGCTCGCTCGCTCGCTCGCTCGCTGCTCTCGCTCGCTCGCTCGCTCGCTCGCTCTCTCGCTCGCTCGCTCGCTCGCTCGCTCGCTCGCTCGCTCGCTCGCTCGCTCGCTCGCTCGCTCGCTCGCTTCGCTCGCTCGCTCGCTCGCTCGCTCGCTCGCTCGCTCGCTCGCTCTCTCGCTCGTCGCTCGCTCGCTCGCTCGCTCGCTCGCTCCTCGCTCGCTCTCTCGCTCGCTCGCTCTCTCGCTCGCTCGCTCGCTCCTCGCTCGCTCGCTCGCTCGCTCGCTCGCTCGCTCGCTCGCTCGCTCGCTCGCTCGCTCGCTCGCTCGCTCGCTCGCTCGCTCGCTCGCTCGCTCGCTCGCTCGCTCGCTCGCTCTCTCGCTCGCTCGCTCGCTCGCTCGCTCGCTCGCTCGCTCGCTCGCTCGCTCGCTCGCTCGCTCGCTCGCTCGCTCGCTCGCTCGCTCGCTCGCTCGCTCGCTCGCTCGCTCGCTCGCTCGCTCGCTCGCTTCGCTCGCTCGCTCGCTCGCTCGCTCGCTCGCTCGCTCGCTCGCTCGCTCGCTCGCTCGCTCGCTCGCTCGCTCGCTCGCTCGCTCGCTCGCTCGCTCGCTCGCTCGCTCGCTCTCTCGCTCGCTCGCTCGCTCGCTCGCTCGCTCGCTCGCTCGCTCGCTCGCTCCTCGCTCGCTCGCTCGCTCGCTCGCTCGCTCGCTGCCGCTCGCTCGCTCGCTCGCTCGCTCGCTCGTCGCTCGCTCGCTCGCTCGCTCGCGCTCGCTCGCTGCTGCTCGCTCGCTCGCTCTCTCGCTCGCTCGCTCGCTCTCTCGCTCGCTCGCTCGCTCGCTCGCTCGCTCGCGCTCGCTCGCTCGCTCGCTCGCTCGCTCGCTGCTCGCTCGCTCTCGCTCGCTCGCTCGCTCGCTCGCTCGCTCGCTCGCTCGCTCGCTCGCTCGCCGTCGCTCGCTCGCTCGCTCGCTCGCTCGCTCGCTCGCTCGCTCGCTCGCTCTCGCTCGCTCGCTCGCTCGCTCGCTCGCTCGCTCGCTCGCTCGCTCGCTCGCTCGCTCGCTCGCTCGCTCGCTCGCTCGCTCGCTCGCTCGCTCGCTCGCTCGCTCGCTCGCTCGCTCGCTCGCTCGCTCGCTCGCTCGCTGCTCGCTCGCTCGCTCTCTCGCTCGCTCGCTCGCTCGCTCGCTCGCTGCTCGCTCGCTCGCTCGCTCGCTCGCTCGCTCGCTCGCTCGCTCGCTGCTCGCTCGCTCGCTCGCTCGCTCGCTCGCTCTCGCTCGCTCGCTCGCTCGCTCCTCGCTCGCTCGCTCGCTCGCTCGCTCGCGCTCTCTCGCTCGCTCGCTCGCTCGCTCGCTCGCTCGCTCGCTCGCTCGCTCGCTCGCTCCTCGCTCGCTCGCTCGCTCGCTCGCTCGCTCGCTCGCTCGCTCGCTCGCTCGCTCGCTCGCTTGCTTGCTTCTTGTTGCTTGCTTGCTTGCTTGCTTGCTTGCTTGCTTGTTGCTTGCTTGCTTGCTTGCTTGCTTGCTTGCTTGCTGCTTGCTTGCTTGCTTGCTTGCTTGCTTGTGCTTGCTTGCTTGCTTGCTTGCTTGCTTGATTGCTTGCTTTCTTGCTTGCTTGCTTGATTGCTTGCTTGCTCGCTTGCTTGCTCGCTTGATTGATAATTCGTACCCCCCTACCCTCCGTATCTTACGCATTTCAACAATCTATCCCTCGTTTGGCCCCTTCTGCTTCCCTGGCCTTTTATTTCTCTTTCTCTTTTCATATTACGCCTCCCTCCATTTTCCCCATTTCCTCTTTTAAAGACACTTTACTTCCGTTTTTGCTTTTAATATCTGTTATTGATACTTCCGGTTGCTTTACATAACTGCTAAACAATTACGGTAAAAGAAACTAAAAAAAAACATAAATTGTTTTTATGTTAGAAATATAAACCCTATTTTTTTCTAATTCCACAATGACTCTGTTGAGCCGACAGCCACCTCAAAACCACTTGCACTCGTATCATTTTTATTTTCTTGCTT